AGTGTATTTGCATACACTACACAGTGCTTGATCATAACCCACCTGGTGGTAAGTGGTGATGCAGCTTTAGATGGTAAATCTCACTGTTTTAGCGTAACAAAATCCTATTCATTCTTGCCTTGAAGATGCCTGGATTGTATTCGGACGGAAATATAGACGCCGGCAAATTATTCCACTATTATATATTATTAGTAATAATAATTTGAAAAGATTACATTTTTATTTACTTCACCGTTTCTTTTTTTTCTCAACATAGACGTAAAGGCGCCATTACGAAATGGGTTATTTGTCATGGGTATCATTGCACGATGCTTTTCATTTTTGAATATTTAATACCAACTATGATTATGGTATTACTATATATGATTATGGTATTTTATAATGTGCAATCAATTTTAAAAGTATTCCATTTTGCTTCGATTGACAATATCGTAAAGAAATATATTTGTACACCACACTGTGGTAGAATACACGATACCTACTATAAATTTTATAAACACCTAACTTACTGTATTCACAAATAAATAAATGAATTTGAATTTAAATTTAAATTTGAATTTATTATAAGCCAGTGCCGAAGATGTAAAGCGCACTGACTTAGCTTATAATTATCATAAAACGACGATCTTTGTTTGGATAAAATTAATGTTTAAGATTGTCAATCCAAAACTTAAAGACCTAATTATGTACGAATAGTCATGTCGTAAAGTCATACTTTTATTTCGTGCTTTTAACGTTGTATTTTTAAATACATTCACAGCCAACATTTTATGTTAATGGCACTTAATCACAGAATGAATATTAGCGTGTCGTTTTGTAAAATGGCTTAATTCCGTTCCATGGCTGCGGTGATTCCATTGTCAACGATTAAAAACTATATCTGCAAACCACAATAAACCTATTTTTCATACTTATGCTTTTCTCTGTTAAAGTAAAATTTCAGTTCTAATTTTGAAGATTTCGATAAATTTAAATTTTGTCCAAGATTAAGTTGTTTTTATACTGTTAACTAGCGACCGCCGGCGGCTTTATTCACATGGAAATGGAAATTACGGCAATTTCTTTATATTTTACTCCCTAAAACACAATACTTTTTTTAGAATAGGTGTAACGTACGCTGTGTGCTGTGTATGGATCTGGTACGTTTAATTGGTGGTGGATGATATTATATGAAAACACGTAAATATATTCTAAACTTTAAAGAAGCATTTGTTATCCTATCCTATCCCATTACGAAAAAATCTAAAAATAGTTATTAGTGATTTTGTTTACCTACCTCGTACTTACTTGCCCCTAATGCTTGTAGTTACGGAAATAAGGGAACTGAAGCATATATATAAATATTCTTATATCTGATCATGTGGTAATTTCAAAAAATCCTCTTTTCTAATGTTTCCTTTAATTTCTTCTCTACATTATGAAGAGAACCTCAGTGAAGAAAATTTAGCTTTCTAAGTTTAAGGGTTAGGACTATGCATAGGTGAATCAGTAGGAGATTACAGTGAGTGAGTAAATTTTGACTTTATTTGGGTTTTATTTTTTAATTTCTTATGTTATGCTAATTTTCTACTATTGTATTATTTGTTTAAATTTTACATAATTAAAAACATGCATCCAATTAATATTGCAGATGTTAATGCATATTGTGTAGATTTGACTTGTAGTTTGGGTACAATAGCTCCTTGGTATTCTGTTTACACTATTAAATTTAAACCCAGGCATACCGCTTGGCTTCAAAATACAATAAGCTAATTCTTCTTAGATCGAATAAAATAGCTCGGATCAATTTTGACACCAGTACATTGTCTCCTTGTGACCATGGGTGCTAGCAAGCTTTTAACTCAAGTTACTAAATTAAACTTTAAGTTTCTAGAAACGTCTTGAGATAAAAATTTAAATAAAACGTGATTGACCAATTCATAAAATTACTTTTATTTAAGGATCCGGACTAACTAAAATATCTAATTTCAAACTGGAAGCTGTAAATCTAACTTCCATGTAGATCTAAACAATATTTCCCATATATATGTACGTTTCTAGTGAATGCTTCCATTTTGAAACTAAACAATATCTAGAATTGTTTAGTGCAAACGGTTATGGTTATTATTTATTAGTTATTTGTTTGTTTGGTAGGAAGTAAGTGGATCCGTTTCTATAAATTTACCTTATCTCTGTTCCATATAGTTTGGGTAAACAATGCTTTTGTTGAACAACAACTAGCTGCTTTGTAACTTAACATGCAGTTTAACGTGATAGAGCCACGCTGCAGCTATATTATGGTTGCAGCAGGAATGCGTCAGCTCGACCGGGGAAGAACCACACTCTCACAGAATACCAGCGTGTAATACTCGTAGCAGCCTAAAGCTTTGTTTTGTTTAGTATAGCGTAGAAAACGAAGCATTCCATCTTAGTCTTCAAGGGTATGAACACATCTCACATTTTGATTCTTAATCGAGGATGGATGTGCGTTACAGCATCCATTTACCATTATGTGGATTGTGTGCTGTGTGCATTCTTATCCTTCAAACCAGAATGATACAGTAGATACAATGCTGCTTGGCGGCAGAAATATATAAGAGGATGATAGGAACTCAGAAGAACTCTTCAGCAAAAAAGGATGCATACCACCTAGTACTTGACAGCCGAATAAATGTGAAATCACCACATAACATTAGATTGTTTTAAGAAAAGCAAAGTTACAGTTTGACGTATAATGGCGACGTAAGAGAATGTATCACTCAATTTCATCCCACGGGTGTCCTGGGTAATGTGAGCAATCTCGTGGCTAACAACCGATGACGGGACTGGTTACGGCGAACAGCGTCAATGGTGCGAGACGTCTGATAATGTGATGGTTTCCGATAGATTGCGGTATATCAACATCTTGCTAGCATCCGAATTAACAACGTCATCAGACGTTAGGCAAACGTTAATTACCCAGACCAACGGATTTACACGTGATAGAGCCATGCTGCATTAATATTATGGTTGTAGCAGGATGGGTTGGCTCGAACGGAGAAGGACTGCGTTCTCCCTTAATACCACCGATACACAAATAAATAAATAGCCGGCAACGTGAAGCAACGTCAAAGTTGCGAGATGTCTGGTACTGCGATCAACATTCCGCCTGCCGAAGTGGCGATTGAGACAAATCAACGCTACGATGGGAGAATCTCATGTGCAGCAGCGTACATTTACAGGCTGATGAAGATAAAGAAAGCTCAGAAAAAGCGCTTAGTTCCTGACTTATCATGGGTCTTTACAAAACACTATAACATCACCATCATTACAACCCACAAATGTGTCCACTGTTGAACCTAAGCCTCCCCTAGGGATTGCCATAAAGCCAAGATAAGGATAAAGATAAAGATATATTTATTTGCAAAAACATGTGTAGATAATAATACATTTGATGTTTTTTATTGGTCTGAAAGTTATAATTTTGAATCAACATGTTTGACCATAGCTGGTGTACGAATATGAAAAAATAAAAAAAGGAGAATAGCTTAACTTATTAATTATCTGTTACAACAGATAATTAATAAGTTATGACAAAAGATATAATATCTACTAAATAATGTATCAGAATATGAAATGAATGATAATAATCCAACCCAAGCCATCTGCATTATTCGACTGTTGTTTCATCAGGTGATAACTCCATTTAGTAGGAAGTTACCCACACTGAGCTTGCCAGTAAGAAAGGCCATAGAAAACTACATATACTTGTTTAAACAAATAAATGTCGGACGCATAATAATATGATTTTGTATCGAAATCCACTTTAGACCTATAAAATATGAGTAATCAGTGTATTTAAACTGTACTTTTCTTCCATGTGCTTATTCTAGTGTATTGCTTATAAATTTTGATGATAATAAATAGCAATATTTCCCACATATGGAAGACAGCGTCGGGAGCATAGGTAACGTGAATCTGTTTTCTTTCAATGATTTGTCTTCCGAACGTTACAAATCTCTGGGCGCCTGCCAAATGCGCTACTTAGCATATAATATATTTTCTGCCTACACCTCCCTAATAGGAAGGGAATAAGTTTCCAAATCGTCTGTCTTATACAAAATCTAGAACAGTGAAAATATAACTCTTTGGTCTTCTAGGCCAGAGTCAGACGGCGCGCTCAAGTGTCACTTGCGATCTTTCTATGAAAATAATATTTTATTACTGTCAATTTTGTTCTGTCTATTGTGCTTATAGTAACATTATTTTATTTTTATTCTTTTAGCACAAAAGTGTGATAATATGAAAATGTGTTAATAGCATTATGATTCAATGATTATTTGAATATGCGTAATGTGCAGACTCAATTAATATTATTAGATTTTACGTTCGTCAACTAAAGATTTTTCAGCCGTTAGATACTTAAGTTAGATACTAGTGCTGAAGGCCACGCATTTGAATCCTACACGAAAAAAGTAAATTCCATTGTAGGGAGGATTCTCCTAAATGGACGTGCTTAGTAATTGGCGGCACTCTTGAATTTGGTACCGTCGTTGGACTGAAAAAGTATTTGTATGGATTACACATAATTGTTAGTAAAGTTCCCCCACGATACAGTAGAAAATCCTAGTTACAATTTTTTAAGTGATTTTAATGAATGAATGAATGAATGAATGAATGAATGAATGAAATACACTTTATTGTACACCAAAAAAATACATATGAGAATAAAAAAGAACATAGTTTATTTAAAGGTACAATTGGCGGCCTTATCGCTTGGGAGCGATCTCTACCAGGCAACCACATTGCAGAGGATAAAATGACCTGTGAGAAAGGGTAAGGGTGTACGTAGGTTGATAAAAAATACACACGACATATATAATATAATCCATAAATACATACGTCTATAATATAAACAAATACATTTTAAATACAAAAATATATACATACATATACGAGAGCAGAAAAGATTAAACAAGTGAAATCAAAGCCTAAACGTAAGGAAAAATGAGTAGGTAGTAATTTTTTAGAGGAATGACTATTTAAGGAGGAAAGAAGTGCGCTTTGACAAGTTTTTTAAACTTATCAATAGACTGCGCACTTCTAATGTGCAGCGGTAGGGAGTTCCAGAGCCTAACAGCTTCAACAGAAAAGGATTTAGAATAGAAGGAAGTGTTATGAGATGGAATTTTTAGGGTGAGGTTTTTATCAGAGCGAAGAGAGCGACAGTGATTGTCACCAAGAAACTCAAATCGCTCTTTAAGGTAAGTAGGGGAAGTGGGATTGAATAGTATACAGTATAAAAGAGAAAGAATGTGAGTATTCCTGCGAAGACGGATCGGAAGCCACTTGAGTTTTTCGCGATATTCGGAGACATGGTCATATTTTCGAAGTCCAAATATGAACCGTATGCATAGATTCTGAATGCGCTCAAGTTTATTAAGCATCTCCTCATTTAAATTGAGATAACACGTGTCAGCATAATCGAGAATCGGTAAAAGAAGTGATTGTGCAAGCGCAATTTTGGTAGGTATGGGTAAAAAATTACTTAATCGACGGAGAGATCCGACCGACGCAAACATCCTCCTACTTACCTCGCTTACCTGTGGAGCCCAAGATAAAAATTTGTCAAAAGTAACACCTAGATTTTTAACGGTGTCACTATATGGCACAGGTGTCCCATCAAAAATAATACCAGGTAGGGAAGAAAAATCTATAAGATTAACCAATTTTTGACTGCCTATAATTATTGCTTTTGTTTTTGATGGATTTACTTTAAGACCGTATGACTTACACCAATCCACAATTAAGTCAAGATCTTTGTTTAATAAACCTATAGTATTGGGTAAATCCATCAATTTGGCATGCTCATATACTTGGAGATCATCTGCATACAGGTGGTAGCGAGAAGATAATTGGAGCGTGATCGAACTAATGAAGATTGAAAAGAGGAGAGGAGACAACACGCCACCTTGCGGTACACCTGCATTAATCGTACACCAGTTAGAGAACGAATCATCTACACGTGTCCGTTGCCGGCGACCAAACAAGTAACTATGAAACCAGTCAATCACTTCAGGAGATATGTTAAGAGAAGCTAAGATAGCTAACAGTAGATCAAAATCCACATTGTTAAATGCATTACTAAAGTCAAGTAAGGTCAACACTGTTACGTGCTGTTTATCCATACTTAGACGAATATCCTCTGTAATCTTGACTAAGGCAGTAGTCGTACTATGACCAACACGGAAACCGGATTGGAAAGAATTTAAAAGACTCCACCTAGATAAGTAGATGCTCAATTGTCGATGGACTATACGCTCAAAAACTTTTGAAAGGAATGGAATTATGGATATGGGGCGGTAGTCAGAGAAACTGGAGGGATTTGCTTTTTTGGGTATAGGAGTAATCTGGGCTTCTTTCCAGGAAGAGGGAAAATTTCCGGATGAAATGGAATAATTAAAGATGGATTTTATAACAGGAGTCAAGATATCGACAATAGGGATAATCATTTTACGACTAATGCAGTCTGTACTAATTGCATCAGAATTGACCTCAACAATGCTTTTCTTAACATCACTATCAGTGATTTGACTAAAAATAAACGCAGGATTGTCAGATTTGGGTAAAGCTGAAATTTGAGTTTTAGTTTGTATTTTTGTGACCTCATCTATGGCATAAGAAGAAGAGAAATGCTGATTTAGCTGGTTTAAGTCAATATTTTTGGGGCTACTATTTTGACTCGCTTTCCCAACTCCAAGAGACTTAAGAAATTTCCATACTCTGCCGGAATTATCTTCATCGAGTATAGATTTATGAATATAGCGTCGTTGTTTATCTCTACACAACCTGTTGCAGTGATTCCGAATTTTTTTATATTTATCTCTATTGGTATTACAGTTATCAAATTTATACCTGGCTTTTGCAAAATTTTTCTTACGCTGCAAATTTTTGATCTCCTGAGTAAGCCAGGGAGCAGGCAAATGCTTAATCCGGACCGGCCGAATTGGAGCATGAACGTCGTAGAGTTGTATTAAAAGAGAATTAAAGCTATTAACCCTTTCGTCAATGTTAGCTCCAGTAAGAACAACATTCCAGTCGATCTTCGCAGCCTCATCTCTCAGACGATCTAAATCCATACCATCAAAATTACGCAGCAGAAGGATTCTCGATTTAGGTTTAGGTGGTCGTAATTTGTAAGATAAGTAAATCAAGTCGTGATATGAAAATGCATCAGCAGGACACTGACCATGTTTATCAACATGATCAATGGAAGAAACAAGAATAAGGTCCAGAAGAGATGGCGAACAATTTGGAAAAAAGTGAGTAGCAGAAAGAGGGAGAATATGTAAGTTAGCTGCTTGAACTATAGATTTCAATCGAAAGGAGCGCGAGTCATTTTTTAGAAGGCACGTGTTAAAATCACCCATAATGATAGAGTGTTGATACAGAGGGATATATTTGTCTAAGAGGCTTTCAAACGAAGAAAAGTAGTCAACTGTAAGGCTAGGATTATAAAACACGCCAAGTAGTAGCTTGGAACCAGAAAAAAAAACTTCAATAATTAAATGTTCAGCTCCTGTAGTGCCCTGGTCAGTTGACATACTTATAATTGTAAATGGTAAGTGTGACCGAAGGTAGATAGCAACACCTCCACCAACCCGAGTAATCCGATCATTCCTTATTAGTTGAAAGCCTGGAAGAGCATATGATGTAGAGGACAAACATGGCTTAAACCAAGATTCAGATATCAAAATAGCATGAATGTTTTTATTATCAAATGAGGAGAGCATGTCTGGATAATGTGCTGGAATACTCTGGGCATTAATATGGATAATGTTGAAATTTTTCAATAGATCTGAGAAGTGCGAATCTAATGTTTGATTAAGAGAAGGGAGGCTGTAGAAACTATTACTACTATTCAATCCATCGGAGGATGAAGGTGAAAAAAAGGAGTCGTCTAGGCTTATATCTTGAAAAGACATATTGAATATTAAATAATAATACTAAATATAAATTACTTAAATAAATAAAATGGAATATAAATAATAATAAAAAAGACAGGTCATAAAACCCACCAGCAACAGACCGTCATCACCACTCGTATCAACATAACAGAAAAAGTAATAAAAAAAAAAAGAATAAAAATGTTGTAACATGAGTCTACATAAGAGAGGGGAACATGACATGTTAAACATTAATATTATTTTTAATGCATACTACAAACATAAATACAAATCAAAAAAAACAATTAAAAATAAAAGTAACTTACAAGACATAAACACAAATAAAAAAAAAAAAACAAAGTACTCAGAAAGTATTACTCAAAGTACAGGTATCTATAGCAAAAATGAGAAATTTAAAATTAAGTTAAGTCTATGATTAACGATCAAAGTGACACATTGTTAGTTTTCAGTATGTCAGTATGACAAAATCACAGAGTACATTATATATAGGGAAGACAAAATATTTTATAGTAAAGAAATGCATGATATAAATATTCTGGTAAGGCAATGAGTGAAGCAAAAAATTACAATAGTGTTTTGTAATTTATGAGCAAGATGTTATTACTACATAAATTAATATAATAAATTTATTAAATTACTACGTGAAATAATTATGAGAAAAAGAAACTGCTTGAACACAAAGAACACTACATTTGAACAACAAACTAAAATCTAATTTAAGCATTATCTTATTTTTTAACCACTCGCCTTGAACGGGGAAGAGGTAATCCAGTCACCGGGCTTTTAGCCGCCTGTACAGAACTTTGGACCTGCAATGTTGCTGTATGTATCGACTTTGACCCTCCGGGAATGCTCTCAAGCTCGCGCAAACATTCCACTTGGTGATGGGTCCCATCCGAACCAATGATGTAAATGTATCCGTCGCGTGTCCAACACTTAGTGATTCCAAACCGCTTCCGAGCTTCCAGAAATACTGCATGCCGAGACTTTGTCAAAAACTCAGATTGGGTAATGCCAGTGCCTTTGAATTTAGTTTTCGCAAACCACACCTTGTTACGGACTGCCAGTTCAGCGAACTTCACAACAACAGGCCTGGGTCTATTGTCGGTAGGACGGCCCAGGCGATAACTGGCCTTGATGCTGGAACTAGAAAAATTTGACAGGTCCAAGTGCTCCGCAACCAATGAAGTGACGCGCGCAGTAAGGTCCTCCGTCTTAGCCTCTGGTATGCCATGCAAGAGTAGCATCTTCCGCCTTCTCCGCATTTCCTGGCGATCCATTTCCAGCCGTAAAAACTCCATTTGCTGCTGCATAGTATTTAACGCGGCCACAATAAAAACTTTAAAAGACTCGAAGTCAGCAGCGATCGACGAGGTGGTAGCAGAGGTCTTGCCTGCTGAGTTTTTTTGCAAATCTTGCTGAAATTCGTCCATTTTCATGTAAAACATCTCCGTCATTGCAGAAAATGATTGCTTCAATGAGTCCATATTATGTCACTTTTGAGTGGATAATGAAATAAAGTGAAATTATCACAAGGATTTCTTTTGCTGGTAGGTAGTGTCACTCACATGTACATAATTTACAATAAAAATTTAAATAAAACCAATAAATACTGTAACTTTAATTAAAAATAAATAGGACGATATGAAATATGTGTTGCTTTTACGACTACCCTCACGAAAAAAAAAAATAAAAAAAAAATTATTAATTATATTTATTTAGTCAGAGGGGTTGAACTATTGAGCAGGAGGTATATCTCATGCTCCACCAAATTTAAATGATAGCGAACCACAAATGTCATATATATTAGGACGATTTTGATATGAGTTTTAACGACCTTCCCAAAAAGATTGTTTACCTCCAAAAAGTAAACGTGAAATATAGTTAGTAGTGTTATGAGTCTTTTAATGTTTGAGTTTTATTTAGATATGTATTAATTTAGTTGAGTTTTTATTTATATTATGCCGTGTAGTGGCGGTCAAGAATATCCACTACCCCATATCCTCCCGTGGGTGTCGTAAAAGGCGACAAAGGGAAACAGGCAGGAGATGGGCAGCAGCATCTTCCTGATAATAGCCAAATTACAATAAAAAAACTGCGGTTGCCAACCCGCTCGCCAAGCGTGGCAACTATGGCAAATACCCCCCTATGAATGACAGTAACAAAGAAACGGCCCCCAGTCCCCGGCGGCCCTGCTATTCCTGGCTACGGTGGCGACCATGGTAACGGCGGGGCAGGGGGTGCTAAGAATCTCCGGTGGAGGTTCGGTTGCCACCTACAACGACTCGACCTGGCAACATACAACGCACGCACCCTGAGGACTGACGAGAAAATTGTGGAGCTGGAAGAAGAGATAGACAAGTTACGCTGGCATATTATAGGATTATCCGAAGTCCGAAGAGAGGGGGAGGACACGGTAATCCTCGAATCCGGCAACTTGCTCTATTACCGGGAGGGCGACCATCTGTCCCAAGGAGGTGTCGGATTTATCGTCCACAAGTCTCTCGTTAACAACGTTGTAAAGATTGAGAGTATGTCGACGAGGGTTGCGTACCTTATACTCAGAATCACCAAACGGTATTCGCTGAAGGTCATACAGGTTTACGCACCAACCTCGGCACACCCCGATGAGGAGGTAGAGGAAATGTATGAGGATATCTCTAGAGCCATGCATTCCTCCAAAACCCAATATACGGTGTTAATGGGAGACTTCAATGCAAAACTAGGCACAAGAGAGAACGGTGAGCTGAAAGTAGGGAAATTTGGAATAGGGCAACGGAACCCAAGGGGCCAGCAGCTGGCCGACTTCATGGAGAAAGAGGGACTCTTTATGATGAACTCTTTCTTCCAGAAGCGGCCCCACAGGAAGTGGACCTGGTCGAGCCCCGACGGTTCCACAAAAAATGAGATTGACTTCATTATGACGACCAGACGACAACTGTTCAGTGATGTCTCCGTGATCGCGAGGGTGAAAACTGGTAGCGATCACCGAATGGTTAGAGGCACACTGAACCTAAACGTTAAGTTGGAGAGGTCTCGTCTAATGAAGTCAACGCTCCGTCCCTCTCGTGCTCTAATCCAAAGTCCCGAAACCTTTCAGCTCGAGTTACAAAACCGTTTTCAGTGCCTGGAAGACTGCAATGAAGTGGACGATATGAATGACAAGCTCGTGGAAACTGTCCATGCGGTCGGAGCTAAGTTCTGCAAGACCCGCCGCAGAAGAACACAAAAACTCTCCGATCACACTCTTAATCTCATGGCTGTTAGACGGGAGATGAAGCTACATTCTTCAACAGACTTGACAGCATACAGGCATCTGAACAGACAGATCTCCAAATGCATGCGGCGGGACTTACGCAACTTCAATACAGCTCGTATTGAAGAAGCGATCGAGCGGAACCAAGGCTCCAAAGTCTTTGCCAGAGATCTGTCTGCCAGAAAGAGCCAACTGTCAAAGCTGAAGACAGAATGTGGCAGCATCGTTTCCGGGACACCTGAGATTTTGAGTGAGATTGAGAGGTTCTATGGGCAGCTGTACACATCATCGTTGGAGCCACACGCAAGTGTGAGTAACGATCCAAGAGCGAGTCTCATCCGACACTATTCCGAAGATATCCCGGATGTCAGTCTGAGCGAGATTAGGATGGCTCTCCAGCACCTTAAAAACGGTAAGGCCCCAGGCGAGGATGGAATTACAGCGGAGCTTCTGAAAGCGGGTGGAAGACCGGTACTTGAAGTCCTTCAAAAGCTCTTTAATTCTGTCCTCCATGGTGGCATTACACCGGAGGCGTGGAGCAGAAGTGCGGTGGTCTTGTTCTTCAAGAAAGGTGACATCGCTCTCTTGAAGAACTACAGACCGATTTCCCTTCTGAGCCGCGTCTACGTGCTGTTTTCGAGAGTCATTACGAATCGTCTCGCGCGCAGACTTGACGACTTCCAGCCTCCCGAACAAGCTGGTTTCCGAAAGAGCTTTAGCACCATAGACCACATACATACCCTTCGGCAAGTTGTACAGAAGTCGGAAGAGTACAATTTGCCACTATGTCTGGCGTATGTGGACTATGAGAAAGCCTTTGATTCCGTCGAAATTTGGGCGGTGCTGCAGTCCCTTCAGCGGTGCCAAGTTGACTGTCGGTATATCGAAGTGTTGAAGTGCTTGTACAGTAGAGCTACGATGGCTATCCGAGTACAGAACCAGAATACGAAACCTATCCAATTGCAGAGAGGTGTAAGACAGGGTGACGTCATATCCCCGAAACTCTTTACCGCTGCATTGGAAGACGTTTTCAAGCTTCTGGACTGGAAAGGATACGGTATCAACATCAATGGCGAGTACATCACTCACCTTCGATTTGCCGACGATATAGTCCTTATGGCAGAATCGCTGGAGGACCTAAGCACTATGCTCAATGACCTCAATAGTGTTTCCCAACGGATAGGTCTTAAGATGAACATGGACAAAACAAAGATCATGTTTAATGTCCATGTCACACCTATGCCGGTAGTTGTTGGGAGCACTAAGCTCGAAGTTGTTGACGAGTATGTTTACCTGGGACAAATAGTCCGACTAGGTAAGTCCAACTTCGACCGAGAGGTCAATCGACGGATTCAACTCGGCTGGGCAGCGTTCGGGAAGCTACGACACATCTTCTCGTCAGACATACCTCAAAACCTTAAAACGAAATTGTACAACCAGTGCGTGTTGCCAGTGATGACTTACGGAACTGAGACGTGGTCCTTCACTGCTGGCCGTATGAGGAAGCTCAAGGTCGCTCAGCGAGCTATGGAGAGGGCTATGCTCGGAGTTTCTCTGCGTGATAAACTTAGGAATGAGGATATCCGCAGTAGAACCAGAGTGACCGACATAGCCCAACGGATTAGTAAGCTGAAGTGGCAGTGGGCCGGCCATATAACTCGAAGAACCGACAACCGATGGGGAAGAAAGGTTCTCGAGTGGCAGCCTCGTACCGGTAGGCGAAGTGTAGGGCGTCCCCCCACGAGATGGAGTGACGACCTGG